TGACTCAAAATCCGTAATATGATCCGAACCGTGAGTTTTGTGATCCGTTGCACCACTAGGCTAAACACATGAATATAGGTGCGTTTCCATTACAGATTTGCGCAAAACTTTGGCGATATTTTATAAATGTCGATAAAAAAGTATTGCGAAATGACGGCGTTTCCATTAACCGATGTTATGCGACTAAAACGTAATTTTTTCCTCTCGCGATAAGTCATGGCAACGGATTTTGATAGGATTTTGATGGATTTTGGCTACACTAGCCATTATATTTAATCGAAGGAGGCGTATGCATGAATCTTGACCATAGACTGTATAAAAACATGGACAACTTCCGACGAGCGTTTTGAAGCCTAAAGTAGGCAGAGCCAACCGTCGCCATCTTGGCAGAGCGTCACTCCCGGATAATCGAAAATGGGCCACCTAGCTCGACGGTGGTGACAGCAGCGACAATCCACCTGTCACTCAAGTGGCCACGCCCTTAATTATGCAGAACTTTAAGGCTTAATATAATTTAAACGGATGAGTTATAAAAAAAAAATTCACCCCCCTCACAGTTGTCATGAAGGGCAAAATTAGCTATATAGACCAAAATAATTTTTTGAACCAGGCTGTAAACATGTTTTTTTCTGCTGTAAAGGTGGGCATTTAGCGGCCAGTTGACGAATTACAGTTTAAGTCACTTCCTTGTTGGCTTCACGAGAGAGAGCGGGAGGTTGCTGCTCGATCTTGACAGAAGCAGCGCGGAGAGCAGCTTCTGGGATGTGCCATGGCGCAACTGGTAACATAAGCGTTGACTAGAGTGGTAACGCGCCGCAGACGTGTGCAGTGTAAATAGTCTAAGCATTAATGGCAGGTAAAGCCCCTTATACTTGAGAGCAGCGACATATGAAGTGTTTCTTGGAGGTTGTAGTAGGCCTACACTGAGGAATGATCATATGCAGGGATTGAAATTAACTTTTTCACTCACCAGCCAATTTGGCTACTAAATTTTTAAGTTAACCAGCCATTCATAACTTCTACTAGCCAAAAAAAGGAGAAAAAATACAGAAATAAACCAAAAGCTTGAGGCTGTCTACACTGGACGTGACAAAGCGACCGTTGCAAATCATTTTGTGTCAGTACTAGGGGTGTGCGATATTGACAAAAAATAATATCTCAATATTTTCTGGGATTTTATCGATAAAGATAATTAGACAATATTTTGCTGAGTGTGTTATTGTGCTGATATCTTATACCGTGGAGAGCTGACTCCTAAAGTTTTTGTTATTCTTCATTATTCTGTGTGGTGATCAGTTCACAGCAGTGATATAAATT